CCCCCGGGGGCCCCGGGGGCCCCGGGGGCCCCGGGGGCCCCGGGGGCCCCCACGGCCTCGCGCGTGTCAATGCGGGACTTTCTGTCGATGACCCCGAAGACTGCAGCAAGGGCTTTGCGGGCGCGGCGGGTGTCTGCGCTGTAGACTGCAGCAAAGCCCAGTCCGGAAGCAGCAAAAACCATGGGGAATAAAGAATTGAGAATTTTGTCGAAGTGCAAAGTGCCTGTGGACACGAGGCGGCCCCCGTACCAGAGGGCCAGGGCAAAGACGAAGAACTGGGCACTTTGGGAGAGGCCCCAAGAAAGCCCCAGGGCCCCCGCCCTGCATGCGCTTTCCTTCAAACCCTCTTTTGCTGCTGCTGCATGCTTAGCAGCAAAGTGGCCCTCCAGGCCCAGGGCCATCACCACGCGGATGCTCTCCAGGGCCTCTGCGAAGACCCCCGAGGCCCCCTCGGGGGCCCCCTGGGGGCCCCCCTCCTGGGGGCCGCCCTCCTGGGGGCCCCCCCGGCGGGGGCCCCCGGGGGCCCCCTTCTTCGCGGGCGGGGGGGCCCCCACGCTGAGGCGGGGCCTGCTGAGCTGCTGCTCGAGACCCACAGCAGCAGCGGAGAGCAGGAAGGTGGCGAGCAGCAGCAGCGCGAGCTGCCAGCAGCAGCAAAAGCCAATGAGGAGGCCCCCGAGCAGGGCGAAGAGGCCGTGGAAAAGCGCAACAAAGTTGCCAGTTGCTGCAGCAGCAACGAGGGCCACATCTGCTGTCAGCAGACTCACGAGGGCCCCCGAAGAGTGGCCAGGGTCGTCGAAAAAGGCCATTTCCTGATGAATTAAACTTTCAAAAGCTTGCGAACGCAGCCGGCGGGCCAGCCTTGCTGCCAAGAACTCCTTGCAAAACTGCTTCAGCAGCTCCACAGGCAGCCGCAGCAAAACGTACAGAGTCAGCAGCAAAGCCCAGAAGTCCGTGGAGGCCCTGAGGGCCCCCGGGTCGGGCTTCGCGAGGGCCCCCAGGAACTCCCCCAGCAGCAGCCCCAGCAGCGGGAAGCTGAGCCCCGAGAGCCCCGCGCTGCACACCAGTGCAGCAAAGGCTGGCCACTCCGGCTGCAGCAGCAGCACTGCACGACTTAGCCGTGCACGGCTCTTCGCGGCCTCCGGGAGGCCCCGCAGGGTCAGCTTCGCCAGCAGCGCGGGGGCCCCGGGGGCCCCCAGGCCTGCGGCCGACTCCGCCAGCTCGCGTGCGCAGTTGGAGGGGGCCCCCGAGGCGTGCGAGGCCTCCGAGGGGGCCCCTTCGGGGGCCCCCGAGGCCCCCGAGGCCTCCGAAAGTTCCCAGCCCTGGCCCTC